CACCATGCACCAAACACAGAGGCCAGGATGACGCACTGCCGAGGAGCTCCTTAGAGGGGCTCCATCATCCCTGAGCACCACAGGGAAACGAGGTCCTGGGGCAAGGCAGCGTCCAATCAGGTAATTGAAAAGAGTTTATTAATCTGCATGCTTAGGCACAAAGAGAGGAAAAAAAGATCATTTTTATTTCATTCTATCTTTATAATTAATTCTAGCACTTCCTAACTTTTAGATATTTAACTTTGCAATTTTAAATTTTAAAAAGATAGTTTGCGCATGTGTCTGTAATGCCATCCTAATGGATTGATGGGCAACTAATGAGAACTACTAGAGTAACTTGACTAATGATCTAGAATTTCCCCCCCCTCAGTAAAGGAACAAGAAAAGCAGGGTCTGTCATATCCCAGGCAGGGGTAAATGTTTGCTTCTGGGAAGAAAAGGTGGGGAGTGGCCAGGAGATTGTTACTGCAAAAGGTCACACAGACCTTTCCGCTCTAATGGGATGGAGAGCATGCCAGCATGGATAACGTCAAGAAGAAAATAACAGTAGTTCAGCAGCATGCTGTGCAGTTATTTCAGCCATTCCAGTTTCTCTTTTCATCATTTATTTAAGACTGTGTCTAGACAGTGCATTACCATTCACAGAATTTATGACAAGTGCCCTAAAAAGTGAAGATACCAGAATAATGTAAACACAGAAATCACCTACAAGCCATAGAAATCCTTTTATGGTTTAAAATATTCACAAATTAACTTTGTCAGGAAAAAGAGTCAAGGTGACCGCAGTATTTCATGAACAAAGCTGCCCAGAGTGCCCATTGACAATGTGGCAAGGGCAGAGTGGAAATTCTGCAGCTAACCTTTACAAGAGATTTACGGATTTGTTAATGTTAGATGAAATAAGCTCATCGACAGCTCTCAAGCCTAAAATAGCCCTATAGATGCTATTAAAAGGCAAGGAATCATACTAGGAAAAAACATTTGAAGTGTTTCCAGGATGCCTTTTTTTCCACCCAAGAAGATGGTCCTGATTTTCAAAGGTTCTGAAACACATTGAGAATCATGATCATGCATGGAGTTTCTTGTGCAAATAGAGACAGCCATAACTACCTAATCACTCCCCAACACTTAGCTCACACAGCTATTTTCTTGTACTACAGAATTAAAAAACAATTTTCTCCGACTGCTTTTCAGCCTTGTCATTTGTTACATATGTGCACACGTGTATGTATATCAAAAGACTTTACTTAAGTGACTACTCAACACTAATTAGATCCACTGGAAGCTTTCCCCAGCCTGGAACTACTAGTTGGAAAACAGATGGTCAACAGTGTGTCCTTTGCCAGCCTGGCAGGACTGCCTGGATATACTGTAACCTGCAGGCCAAATTTTGCCCTGGCCGACACTCTGCAACAACCACAGAGCCAAACAATTGCAGGATGCAATAGATGAAGAATGATATCTATCTAATTATGCTTTAATTCCTCTCCTCTAGCAAATAATTTCAAAAACAAGTAAGTACAATGACCACCTCTGTGTTTCCGTCTTTCTGCTAAAAGCATTTTCCTAGCTAGATGCAATATTCTACTAGTGACTGTTAAGAAAACACCTTGCAAAAATTGTTTGAATGCTCTGAAGCAACTTAAAAGTAAGATGAACACATTGTTCTTGCCAGATGCCATGACAAGACATATGGCTCATATCCTCTCGTGTCACGTTATGTGATCTGATGCAGGAGCAGGTTTGGGGACATTGCCACACAACTGAGTCACCCCAGTCTTATGACCCAAAGCGAGGGCCAGGGCTGCAATAGGAACTTTACTTTTCAATCTTTTGCTACAATGCTGAGATTGTGTAAATTCCCAGGACCATAACTTGTATAGGGGAACTGGAGAAAATGCAATGTCATACTGATAATAGGAAACAAAATTATGTCCTGCAGAACTTCTCTGGAAAGTGGAACAGTTCAACGCTGGCCTAGCTAATCCAAGATGCCTGTTCAGCTCAGAAGTATGTGGTTTTATTCATTTTAAAAGAAAAAAAAAGTTCCTTCTCCCCAGGGAATCCCTTCCATCTACAATTCAAGTTCTGCTAAAATCGCTGGTTTCTTATTGATACCTAGCAGCCCTGATGTAAGAAGGGGAAAATGCTTCCATTTTGAGTTAAAGGTAATTAAGACTTCCTGAGTAGAGTCTTGTTAAAAAGCAGAAGTTAGATCAGACCCACCAAAATGTACACCAGTTTCTAGTCCTCCAGCATAGCCCTAGGTAATGAAGGAAGCTCTGAGAAAATGGACCCTAATGTAGTTTTGATCAGAAAGTAGTTGGTACCAACTTGCCCTGAGGCCTCAGGTTGTTTTAAATTAACACCAAAACTGGGTTTGCAACCTGGAAACTGACCTTACTCCAAATCAAAGGAGATCTTCTCCTAAGTGCACCCTGAATTACTTTTGAGAAGAAAGCTCCTACTGTAAATGCAAGTGAAAGCATGCTCAGAGCAGACACAGCAGCAGGCAAGGCTATGTGAGTTTTCCCACTTGCCCCATCAGATACTGGCCTGAACCAAGACAAGCAATGAGCCCTTCTAGGGGTAGCGAGCAGGTGCTGCCTTCATACTTACCTCGAACTTTAGTGAATTTGTGACTAAGTGTGGCAAAGAGCAAGAATCAGGAGCTTTAGTCTTTCATGTCTACTCTAAGGACCATGGTGGACCAAGTTTACTGTAGATTTTTGCAGATACACTGATGTCAGTGAACAGGAATCTATTGCCCAGAACTGAATTAAGACTTTACATGTCTCAGTTTAAGTGAATCCTCTTCCATCAGACATTTATTTCAAATATTAATCTAACTAAAACTTACCTAAAGAGCAGTAGAGTCCAACTTGTTCATATCCTTCACAGCAATCTGTAGGAGTGATAGTTTCAGGGACTTCAACAGTATGATACTGTGTTTTATAGTACGACCGGGGACACATCATCCATGGTATCCATCCTCCACAGGAAGTGCTTTTTTCATAGGACTTTTGGTAGGTAACCACTTTAAACACATTTTTGGTCAGGCTATAGTTGCACAGATGGTATCCTAGCGAAGAGAGGCTTTTTTCTAGGGAGAAAATAAACAAACACCAAACAGGAAAGAAAGGGATCAGCACTAACTTGTCACTCCAGAGCATACTTTTCCATATAGTATCTAGTTAAAAATACTGTTCTGAGAAAGCAGTGACAGTACCAACACACACGAATGATTTCCAGGAAAGCTGATGTGAGGAAGGATGTCACTTCAGAAAATGGACAAAAGAAAGAATTACTAGTGACTGCTTGTCAGAGGCATCACTTCAGTCATAGAAGGATGCAGATTGGCAGAAAATTTAAGTTCTCAGTGCCTTCAGGTGCAAAGCAGAAGAAGGGCAATTTAACTCAAGTATACAAGAAATTAATATATATTAATAGACATTAATAGTAGAGCAGAATAGGCATTTCCAGGGCAGAATAATCCAAGTACTTTAGATGTCTGTTCTAGGCTCACACTGCCAAAGTGTTCATCTTTCTATGCTGACTATAAAGGGAACGAAAAGCGGGGAACTCATGAGCAGATGAGTCACAGTAGATGTCTGGAATAAGACATCCTTCAGACATCGCCCTGGGCTAAAGCTGGCTACTTATACATCACTGGGAAGGACTTTCAGGTATCTGACACAAAAGGTATTCCTGGAGCTCTTATGTTGCCTATCTGCATTTGTAGTAGAGCATATTAGAGTAGGCCCTTTAAGAGCTGCTGTAGTTCATTGACTTCAGTATAAACCCAGTCCACGATAAGATCATTAGCTACAGAATTTCACACAGGTCTGGGACTGGGACTCAGTTTCTGTAGTTCTGAAAGCAGTCGTGATGAGAAGGGAACTTGTTACATGCTTTACTCAAAACCAAAATTCTTGAGCAGGAGCAGGGATAAACAAAACAAAACAAAAAAGACCACCACCACAAAGAAACCCAAACGACAGCCGCAACAAAACCAGACGGAGTTTAAGAACTAGCATTAAGCAACCTATAGTCATGTCACAGACATCAGGCTGTCTCTTAATGAGATGTTATACAAGCCAGAGGGGGTGAGTCACCCTGTGTCCCATGTGGGAAATAATGGGATAGAACTGAAATGCTCGTATCATCCTTCAAACAAAGCAAGAGAAACTTTAATAAGGATAAATATTAATTAGCTGCAAGGAATAAAGTATGGCAGGATTATTATTTCTGAGAGCTCTGAGGGGATCAGGGCCAGTCAACAGACAGACTGAAGCTAACATAGTATACACGACAAGCATACAATTGAAATATTTACAGCTTATCTTATTTGTACAACTTATCTCCTGCCTGAGAAGATGAAACATGTAAAAACAATTAAAGCCTCCCCAGAAATTCTTCAGGTTTTTAGAAACCACGTGGTTTTGTCATGTTTAGCTTTCCAGCTAAACAAAAGATATATGTTGAATTTGAACAGGGCTGGTAAAAGAGCTTTGAACAGGATGATCTATTTGTAGTGCAAGGACAGTCCAGAAGAAACCATGGGGTGGGTATCATAGGCCACAATACATCCCTTAAGCTGGCTCAACCAAGTCACCCAGAAGGTCTTCCTCCAGCCTGATGCTTGAATAAGAACAGTTTGAAAGATGTCCCCTGCCTTAGATGTTCAAAAGGCCATGAAGAAAAACGGGTTTGCTTGATGCAATTCCCAAACGTAGGCACAGACACCTCCCTGAAGACAAGGGCACTTTGGAAGAGCAGAGGGAAGGAGAAGAGGCTGGCACTGACCATGGACCATCCACAGCATAAATACCTTGCATCTAACCAGACCCAAGGAGAGCATTGGGCCCCTGGGAATCTGGCCCTGCTCTGCCTAACCCATCTGTGCCTTTGTCCTGTGGCAAAAGGCAGAGTTTGATGCCAGGAGGTGCTACAGAGAATGTATGTGAGAGCAAGAGACCTTCCAGCAGGCTCTAGGGAGCCCTGTGCTGTTACTTAGAGCAGGTCAGCAG